CACACACACACACACACACACACACACACACACACACACACACACACGACTAATTAGTGGAGTTAATTATTATTAGAGTGTGAAACACAAGATGAGTACAGGTAATGGTTTGGTATAAAATTATATTCTATAATCTATTGCTTTTCCTAACTTTGCTAATCACTCACACACAGTGGTATAAAGAGCACTTAAAATAGCAAACACCTTTTACAAATGAGTTCAGGTGTGCAGTTTAGTAAGAAAATGTGAATTTTTTTTCTTATTTTCAAATCAAGATTGGCATTTGTTTACATCATGATAACAGAACAAACATTTGATCACTAAAGGCTGAAGTTCAACAATTAAACAAGCAAAAGTAACTAGTACTATGGTCTGGTTGGCAGTTTGACGAATAACCTGATGTCATTACCAGTTATTTACATCATAAATATTATATCCATTATGAATATTTAAAATTATGTCAAATAATAATAAAAATCTAGGAAATGCCCAGTCTAACTTTGAATACACGGCTTTGCTTATCAAAAAATGATAGACTAATTTAGTGAGTATGTGCTGGAAAGTTTGATCCAGGATCTTTACAGTCATCCAAGGGCTCCATGCCCATCAGCCACAAGTGAAGAGTGGAGTTTTGTTTTAGATGTAATTTAAAAGACGTGACTCCTATCAGTCAGCCAAGGGAGATGATCAAATTCCAGAGTTGTAATTATAGGTTGGCAGAGTTTTATTTGTTTTTCCTTTTTATGAACTGCAGCTGGAGAAAATTTGATTTGTGCGCTTAAGCATAAACAAAGGCAGAGAAGACATCTTACATCTCATTTCAAAATACTGCAAATGTCTTAAGACCTCGCGGCCAAACTTAGTCATGCATATTATTTATATACTGCTCCATCTGCAGTGTTGATAATGGCTTCTTTCATCTGTGTACAATGGTGTTCTGAGTGTTGTGAAGGATTTACCTCCAAAGTGTGTCCAGTCAGCTGACTTACTTGGCAAAGGTAATCTGTTAAAGAAGAATTTTTTTTTTTTTGGGGGGGGGGGGAACAAAAACAAAACAGGTCAGTAACATGAGCAGTTTTTGTCATATTGTACTCTTAATCTGCCCTTTTTGCATTCTAAAAAACAAAACAAAGCCATGTAGTCACCGGTAAAAGCAAATGTTAGCACAGGTTAATGGCCTTTGCACACCGGATGCAAATAAAGCGATCTGACCAATCAGACGACTGTATTGGACAGCAAGTGTGCTTTAGCTCAAAAAGTGCACTTGTGCTGAATGTACAATAATACAGAAATGACTCATTTTTTGTGATGAAAGTCAGTGTTAGAGGAAGCATCTGAATGCACCTCCTATCTTTCTAGCAGAACATTCAGTATTTTTGCAAACCAGATCACGCCAGACTCTAAGAGCCTACTCTGTGGGCTCAGTCTTGGGACTTATTTTCTGCTGAAGTGACAAAACACAACAGCTGGCTTGGCTTTGTCCAACAGTATCAAAATCTACCTAGAAGAGTCTAGAATTCACTAAATGTCAAGATATATCAAGGCTGTTTATAAGAGCTATAATTATGCTCCTACAATTTTCCCATACGTTGTCCATATTTCCTCCCCTTACAGGTGACCACATCGCAGTAAAAATGGCATGCTTGTAACTTGTCTTATTTCTCTCTCTGCCTTGATTTTGACATGTGTGTGTGCCAACTTCATTCTCTCCACCTGCCTGTATTAACACAGATAAAATCTAAATATGGCAGTAGCAAGCAACTAAAATTGAATGCAGTCTAAATGATCTGTGCTTAGTCCTGGCTTTGCTGACACCGCTTGTGCTGTTGTATTATTGGCACTGTGGACAAGCCAGCTGTGTGTGTGTGTGTGTGTGTGTGTGTGTGAGAGTGTGTGAGAGAGAGAAAGAAAAGAAGGGGGAGGTGGATTTCGAACAATGTCATGCTTGTTCTAAACTGGGTGTTTTCCTTTGGAACTGTGGTAATAGACTGGAAACAACCCAGAAACACTCTGAACATTGAAAAGCACATCAAAACAGACTCATGAGGTTCTTCAGTGTGATCAAGATGAGTGGCTGACTCACAACAAAGAAGTTAAAGAATGAATACCTAAACCACCGCAACATACATGTGTTACTTCAGTATTTTCATACTGAAAGTTGATATTTAATAACTTAAATTTTCTTTGAAACTCTACCCATATAGCAGAGTTTGTATCACACTCACTAAAGCTAATCAGGAAAGGCACAGAGCTTTTCTGTGCAACTAAAACTACAACTGAAAATACAGTTTCGGTGGATCTAACCTCATGGCATGTGTTTCATGTCATTCAACAATGTTTGAAAAAAAGGTTTCTGCATGCTTTTCAAAAGTTAATTTAAGATGTTTGACAGCAGAACAGTAATAACTTGAGCAATGCACACTGATTATCTATTAAAATTAAATGTCTTCACACATTCTGATTTAGGAATCATCAACTTGAAAATGACACAAATGTTGTGGATTATGCAAAGGAGCCACAAACCCTCTTCTAAATACTTAATAATGTTGTGGGTGTTTCATTACGCCCAACATAACCAACTTGCGGTCCACGTGGCACTGATGATGAGGTAACAGTGGAAATGAAAGAGTCCACTGGCACCCTTTTTTTCTAAACAATTTGAACCTTATATTGGACTCAACTGGATAAAATTTATTTTTTAAGTTTAATTTTTTTCCAAAACATTTAGAAATCACCTAACAATTGGAACCTCGTGTCCTTGCTACTTGCATTTCCCATCTGTCACCTTCTAATTGTCATTTCACCTCTTCTAAACAGCCTGTAACAGAAAACAATGCCGACTACATGTAGTAATGCATGTCTGATATGGTCAAAGTATTAGGACATTTAAAATTTATGATCTCTCACAAGTACTTAAGACTTTTAACATATTTTATGGCTTAAAAATCAATTTAAATACTGGAAAGAGCTGAGCGGATCCTGTAGGAGTTGGAGATAAGAAATACTCAAATACAGGGACTTGACTTTTTACTCAAGGGGCTAATCTGATAGATTACTGGCTGCTGCGTTTGTAATAGCATTGTGAGGAAACTAGATGCAGTTGCTGCCATTACACATGACATTTTTAGAAGAAATATTTTTGGCAAATCAAACCATTTCTGGTCTGACTATAGCACATCAGAGGCTGGGTCATGACCAATTCTAGTCTTTTCATGCACAACAGAACATTTTAAACTATTAAAATACACTGTTGCTAATGTTTCCAAATAAGCTACAATCTATAGAATCTGTAGTGTTCGCAGAAGCTGTAGCAGCTGAGTCTACACAGGATGTGTGCAGGCACAGGATGGAGTGCAGGTCACCTGTGTTTTAGACCACAATCACTGTAGATATGAGTGTTAAAATGATGTAGACTTAAAAGTCTCTCACCTCTTGAGAACTTTGTCGTGGGCGTCACTTCCCTGCTGAACAAGGCGATCCAGCACCTCCAGTGGTGAAGCAGACACTACCCCTTCCTCCTCTCCATCCTCCAACCCCTCTTCCCGCTGCAAAAGTCTCTCCATGGTGACCTTGTGCGCCACCTCTGACGTCTTCTGGTGCACAAAGAGTGAAGCTGCCCTCGGCAAGGCCAGATCAAAAAATGACTCATAGGGAACCGGGGCTGGCGTCTTGCTGCACGGACTCGGGGAGAACATCCCAAACTTAGTCACTTCATCATCCGGGATAGAGGGGCTTTGGTGCAGGTGGTGCTCAATAGGAGTAAAGCATGTGTGAAAGGAGCATGACTGCTCCAGGCCAACAGCTGAATTCCTTCCTTCTCCTGCTCCCGCTCCTCTTTCACTGCCAACAGTGCTGCTACACACGGTGTTCTCCGCTTTATCTGGTGTTGATACGGCATGATGGGTGTCCCGGACGGTGCCTCCAGGCTGGGTGCTGGAGCGGGTCTTGTCTCGTGTCTGACAGCCAGTCAGCGTTTCAGTGGTGTGATAGAAAGGGGAGTCAAAGCCCCTGACACCCGACAGCTCCAGCTTTTCTTCAGTGAGCTTCCATAGCTCCTCTGTGATGGCAGCTGCAGTAGATGGAGACAATGACATTCAGAATATACATGCAGGTTTAAATATTTCTGCAATCACAAAACTAGCGCCCAATTTTTTTTTTGTATTTTTTTTTATTATTTAAGAAGGAATGGATGTTTACATCTAAGCACCTAGCTTTAGAAACACAGCTTGTGCCATTTGGCAGATGCTTCTGTTAAAAGTGGTGTTCGCAGCACTGCAGGTGCATTTATTTTTATTATAAGTGGCTCAAGTGGGATTTAAACCAGTAACTATGCAGAGAAAGCTCAACATACAGGGAAATAAACAGATGTGTTGGCATCCTGGATGTTTAGTTCATGAGCTGAGAATTGTCCAACTTAACTGGGGGAATCTGTTTATCAGAATGTTGATTTGATTAAAAACAGACCATCCTACTGACTCATTGTTCTTATATATGTGTTATCCAATTTTATTAAGGTGTCTGTTCTGAAAAATCAAATTACTTTGCTTTAAAGAATGCAACTAGTTTAAGGGAAAATCTATTGGGCTAGGAAGTACAGTTTCCTTAACTTTCCTTTCATTTCATTTCTTTTTGAGAGGCAGCGTAGGCCATCTCTAGTCGTATGACAACTGGGATAGGCTCTTGTCAAACATGGTTGTGGTAGTGTGATAGCCTGGGGCTGCTTTGCTGCTTCAGGACTTAGACACTGTAATTAATGGAACCATGAATTCTGCTCTCTACTAGAATATCCTGAACGAGAACGTTGGACATCAGTTCGCACCCTGAAGCTCAAGCTGGGGTGTGAAGCTGGATGATGATCCAAAACACACCAGAAAGCCTACCTCTGAATGGCTTTTACAAAAAAAAGGCAGCAAAACAAGGGTTTTGGAGAGGCCTAGTCAAAATCTGGACTTGAATCTGATTAAGGTCATGCCAAAGCATCTCAAACAGGCCTTAAGAGAAAGGTGGGCCTCTCCAGTGATGTGAAACTTACTACAAATGCTCGACTGCAATTCTTACTGCCAGGGTGGCAAAACCACTTTTTACGTTAAACAATTTAAAAACTGAATTTTACTTTTAATTTTTTTTTTATGTCTAATATAAAAATGTAATGAGTTGAAACACTTAAGGGTGACAAATATGAAAAAAAAAACCCAAACAAACCAAGAACTCTGCAGGTGTAATATTAAAGAGAAAAGGAGCAGACTGCTACATTAAGAGCCTCTCAGGATTATCAATACGGCTTTGATGGCTCCAGTGATTGCCAGTAGCAACCACTAAACAGAAAAGCCATATGACATTGAGAATTTTCAAATGTAGGTCTTGTGCCAGAATCACCAGTTCATACTGCTCTTTTTTGATGAATATGTGCCTGTGAATGCTGCTCAGATCCAATGTTTGAATAAAAAATGGCTAGCATGAATTTATTCAACATCTTGCTAGCATTTTGTGTGCATTTATAATTCAATAAGAGGAATGAGAGCAGCAGGTAGTCTGCCTTTAACACCATGTGAATGACTTGGGGAAACTATAGACTTCTTTTTTGTTAACCTCAAAATAAATATTTTTTTAATAGTACTGCAACATTTTCTTGGGTTGACTTTAGTCCTTGTGGCTTGAATTTGCTGACAATGTACATAAATGTGTTTCTGCAAGAAAGAAACTCACCCTCTTCCTTCTCTTTTTCTTTCTCTGTTCTCAGCTGCAGCTCCAACTCCTGTTTCTTCATGAAAACTGAAAGCTCTGTCAGAGTCATGGAGATGTTCTCTGCAGCCCCTGCATCTGATGACGAAAAACATGCCACATGTTTGCATATGGTATCAAAAAATGAAAGGGGAAAAAAAAGAAGAAATACTTTTACCCTAAACTTGAGAAATTAACTATTAAACCTCTATAAATAGTAAAGCAGAAATCAAACACATTTTAGGTCATTTCAAGTAGAAGTGTGCACTTCACTCAGATTACAAATGTTTATGCTGTTGTAAAATATCCAGCATTTTAAAATTAGGCAGAACGGAGTCTTGCCCAGGAGGGGTGGACCATCAGATCAAATTACAGTTGTGAGTTAACTGCTTCATCTGGAGCTCCATCTGAAATGTATTTCAGTCAGACTGGTTTTCTATTGGATCATTCTGGATCTAATCCAAAAAGTGATGGCCTGTGAAGACTACTGTAAAATGAATGATAATAAACCGTATCAATGACAGACATCACGTCTAACCTTTGCTTGTGGCCACTTCTGAACTCTTCTCAGGCTCTTTTACTGGGTCTTGTCTCACCAGTGTGGGCTTTGTGCCTTCCCCATGTCTCCGATCCTGAAAAGTCACACACAGTTAACAGTCTCATTAGAGACAGTTTCAGGACACATCGGTGGTTTGTTCCAGCTCTTCTATCCCAGTGTAATTCTAAAATACATTTTAAATAAAGTTATAATTTTTCCCTCATTAAACATAATTGCTCAAATCATATTGCCTCCTGCTGTTTTCATGTAAGGCACATTGAATTGTTCAACATATTAGTCATATTTTTTTCAGATTCTTAAGTGATTAAAAAAAAAAATGAAAACATCATAGTGTAATGAATAATCACAATCTGCCCACTGCCAATGACCTTTTGTAATTCTATCATGCAAAGTGTTTGGCAGGATTTCTAAAATCTGCATCTTATGGACATTTTCAGGATAGCATTGAGAGAGCATACTTTTCTTGGTGGACTGGACTGTACTGTGTTGGCTGGTAAGGAGATTACAGGAAAGTCATCTGATAAGGTGGGAGGCGGAGAAGACGTGGCTGGGGTGCTGGAGGCAGGCGTTCCTTTTCCTCCTGCTCGGATCAAAAACAATCAGCAGTCACCAGAAAAGACACGACAGGACGTCACGTCAGAAAACGGTACGGTACGTACAGCATGATGTAGCCTGTACCTGATGTGCAGTGGAAGCGGGTGGGAAGATGTGAGGCACTGTGGGAGAGCTCCAAGTTGGGCGACATGCCCCTTGAGGAAGGGGGTGTAGTCATGCCACACAATGAGGAGGGGCTCCACAGAGGGTCTTTCCCACCACAGGAGGAATTTAATTCACAGGAGTTCTGCAAAGAAGAGAGTCATTATTACTGTAATATAATAAAATTTGGGAAACAAACTGGTCTATAGATGATATACTGTTGTAGCTTAGTAAACGAAATTATTAGATCATTCTCTGTCATATATGGTGATTTGGTGCCCTCTTGTTATAAACTATAAAGTGGGGACTAAAACTTCCTGATGCATTTCGTCGCCCACACAGAGAGGGACACAGACCACCTGTGTATCACAATCAGCTTTATGAAAGATTGGCAGTGCTACATTAACTGGGGGCAATTTAAAATTGCACTTCTGGAGGAAGCTTGACTATCCTCATTTTGCAGGACCATTCGCATGCCCATTTGCCTGGATACCTGAGTTGAGCTTCTCAAAAATTACAGGATATTTATTATTCTAGAATTTAAAATACATCTCAATTGGCTGGGGTTTCTTATTCTGTTAATGCATTGTAAGAATTAATTTACTGTCAGATGGTAGCTTGAATGAACTAGAAAACATTGAATAGTGGCTGAATAGTGGAACAGGTGGATGTGGGTGAAGCAAGCCAAGTAAAAAATGGCGGCTCTCACGTGTTTTCCAGATTATTCATCCGTCACAGTCGTGGGAGAGAAAAATTCTCAGACAGACCCCAGGGGGCAGAAAAACACCCAGACCCCTCCTTCATGCAGCTGGTCCGATAATAAAAAGGGAGACAGCATCTCCAAGGCAACAAACCCTTTCCAGCCCTTACGGAGTGGTGGCAGGATAAGCATAGGGGCATGAACCTGACTCTGCCCGCCAGCTGATTTTAGGGACTCAAAAACACTTTTTCTTTGCGTTTTTCAAAAACATGGAGGACAGCTATTGTTCTTTTTGAACTCATTCATAGGGCTTTCTGGACAAACAATTGCCTAACTCTGTCTGACAGGTGCTATATGGGGTGTAAACATGACCCTGTGTACAACAGCCAGCATCAAGCAGAAGCTTAACAACAACGTGCTCTGGCACTACCCTCTGATCATCAGTTACTGACAAACCCTGTGTCCTAAAGCAACAATTATGACAGATTTTGATCGAATTATGGATGATCTTACCTGCCGTCTGGAGGTCTGTGGGCTGCGGTACGAGGATTGTGTCCCTGAGAAGGGGGGCAAGGACAGGGGTGGGGGTAGAGGCTGTCGTGGAGTTGAAAATGGGGTTGAAGAAGTGCTTCCTGTTGTCAAGAAGACAAATGGTATGAACAAGCCACTAATGGATCCAGCCAGCAACTTTCAGTCTGCTCTTAGGACACCACTGTTCCAGTGCTCTTTAAAAGCTGCTCCAAGTAATGCTTCAAAGTAATACTTCAAGTGATAAAATCCCTACTATGTTCTAACCTGAGCTATGGTTCTTGATGCAGATGCAAAAATGCAACATGTCTATTATTATTCTTACTCGTATCAGTATTGTTTCATATGCAAAACTGACCATAGCTACTGTGGAGGTCTGGGTAGGGGCTGGAAGTGCAGTCCTGTGGTCGCAGGTGGATTTGGGGGTAAAAGTTCTCAGGCATGGTGGCATAGCCCTCCTCGCAGGAAGCCTCCTTGGGGTCTAGAGACACTTTGGCACATTCAATGACGATATCATGGATTTCATACTTTTTCCACCTACAGAAAAGCAGAGCAATGTTAGGCAAAGTCCTGCTGGAAATACAGAAAAATAAAATAAATAAAATTTGTCTTACCTGGTGGGGTCAAGCTCATGATCCTTGGTTCCCGTCACCAATTCTGGATGAATGCGAACGTGTTCAAGCATCGGCTGAAGGTTGGACACAAATTTAACATCCATCATCACTTTGCTTCCAACTCTAATGAAGAGCAACAGATCACTGCATCTGAAGTAATGCGCTTACCTTAACTACTTCCTCAAAGGTTTCCATGTTCTCCTTCATGCTGTAATGGGAGCGCAGGTAGGACACAAAATTGCAAGGGTACATGCCATAGAGACGGTGGAAGAGGGAATAGACGCTGGCGTGTAGGTGGATTAGGTAAACCTCTGAAACATGGCCTTAAAGTGGGAAAAAAGGGTTAGAGAGACAAAAACCTAAGCTTGCGCAGTGCCTATAAAAACACCCCTTTACCTCCCACACAACTGGATCAAGACCCTTAAAAATGAACTAGAAAACATTCAAAAAGCCGACAACATATTTTTGAGACATGACAGGAAGTTCCTACCTGGATTTTTCAGGTTCCACGATGCCAAACGGCCAAAGATGTCAAAATACTCCCACAGGTGTTGTTTCCCAGCTTGAGGGATCATGGGCAGCAGAGTGATCAGCACCAGCACTCCAGTGATAAGCACGACTACATCTGTATCTGTCTGCCATGATATCAAGGTGAAAGTATTTAGGTTTAGGGCACACAAAAGACATTACATAGGACAATCAAAAATCTTAGGCTTAGCGTATTAGCATACAATTTGCTGACAAGCTCTAGTAGAGCTAAGGCAGATTGGGGATGGGTATGTTGTAGCTATTAAAAATAATACAAGCCAAAGTACAATACAATAAATATAATACAATTCTTAGCCTATACTCTGTAAGTGATGTTGTGTTTAATGATGTTGTGTCTAATGGTTTTTAATGTAGACATTTAAATACTTGCTAGTAACAGCTCAAAGATGTGTGTATATGAACAAAACCCAGGTAAGTAACTGCTTTGAAAGCAGAAAACTAAACAATCTACTGCTTTGTGTGCTCACTAGAATTAAATCCATTCTAAAAGCTGCTTGGATGAAAAACTTCTGATCTGCATCCATCCACACACGACTCTGTGCCTTTACAAGATTTCTTTGTTCATCGAGTCGTATCTGGGTCGTTACCTTTAGGCATTTGAGCAGTGAGAGGAGCAGAGGGTATCGAGCAATCTTGTGGATCCAGGACGGCTGCTTGCGGACTACATGGCCGAGTAGAGTGAGGGTGGGCAGCCGGCAGGCCTGTTTGGTCATACAGTCATTCATCTTATCTAGAAGGTGCTGTGACAGAAGGACATTAGGGTCAGGGTAGCAAACACAATCAGTACTCAGCACAGGCAGTTAGTCTCCTTTTTAAAGCATGTTGAAACTAATCTGTGACAATATAAGCTGTAACTTTATACAGGACCATAATGACCAATCAATACATAGAGTTTAATGTTTCTAGAAGCAGTGCTTTTTGTTTTGTTGGTTTTCTTTTTTTTCCTACCCTAAAAAGTACCACGTCACAGGTAAGCTACAACAAACAAACTCCACCTCACCTTATCATGTGGCTCTCTGACAGATGACAGGATATGCACAGCCTGGGCGGAGTTGGTTTCTAAATAGTAGTCCACCAGCGTGTTTAGCAGCATGGACCCACGTTCTTCAAGGAAAACAGGAAGGAGATTTTGAATAAATACGCAGTGAGGTAAGTTAAACCAGGTGATAAAGCAAGCATTATTAAAAGAATGAGATGCAATCGGCACAGAATGGCCAAGGTTATCAAAGTTCAGTGGTTTCCCCACACACAGATTTTACTTTTATGGGCTATTGATACCCAAGTACATTCCTATTTATTCTATTTATCCCCTTCGTATATTTTATTTATATTTGTCTCTGTATTTATATATGTGTGTGTGTGTGTGTGTGTGTGTATATATATATATATAATATTCTGTAACTGTAACTTCTGTCGGTGCTGTGCTTTTTGGAAATCGAATTTCCCAGAGGAACCCACCCGAGGGATTAATAAAATTCTATCTTATCTTATTTTATCTGTCTGAAAAGTTGATGCAATTGCTCAAGTAGCAGTATGACTGCTTACCAGCTAGCTTCCTTTCTCCTACTTCCTTACAGCCAGGTTGACTAGGTTATCTTTTTCATGGTCATATAGCCTTCAGCTGCCTCACAAACTCAACCTCCACGTTCCTGGACTACAGCTAGCAATGGAAGTCCATATTCTAGTCTAATGGCCAATTTCTGCTTAAGCTGGTAATCTATGTTGCAAATTACACATTGAGTCGACATAGCCTGCTACGACTACAACTGGTGTTGAAGGTTACATCGCAGGGTTAAGAGGGGTTTCCGGTTATGACCTAAGTTAACCAAGGCTGCAGAGCAGAACAAGGACTACCATTGCTAGGTGCAACTTAAGAGAGTGGATCAGAGTTTGTGAACAGAATGAGAAACTCACTGAAGAAGCACAAGTATGCATATAATTTTTAATTATTTATTCTGTTAAGTTGTAGTGACATCACACGCACAGAGAGAAAGAAAGCTGTGCCCAGAATAAACTGTGCTGACACATAACAAGCCAAGTGCCTACCAGTGCTGAGCTGCTCATTGATAAGGCCTCTGATCTCTTCTAGCTGGTGGAGGTCAGAGGTCTCCAAGAGTGGGAGGAGGTCCCCCACATTTGGCTGCTCCCTGGCCATGGTGGTGGCAGTGCTGGACGTGGAGGCAGCGTCTCTGTCACGGCGTCCGTCCCCACTTGCCTGGAGGACTCCTGGGACCCACCCACCAATACAGTCTCCAGGCACCTCTACAATGCACCAAGATCAAATCAAAAACATTTCCAAGAATGTGTTTAAGCTCTGATCCAGGATTACTGCTTGCGTGACAATATCAACGGTGTAATGGGAAGCAGGGTTTGCAGTAAAGAGAATTCTCTTAAATGGGGAGAGAAAAAAAAAAGTTCACCCTAAATGAGTGGACTTCTCTTTTGTGATACCCACAAGAGCTCTGATTTGACTAACATAATGGCCTTGTCATCGTATCCTATCAGGTGAGGGAGGTGTGAATGACAGACAACGCAGCCATATTTCCATGTAATTTCAAGTTATAAGCAATGAATACAACGTCTCTGCTGTAAAGACACGCAGTGGTCCTTAAGTCTCTCAATCATCCCGCAGATCAGGCCAAATAAGGCCTTTAAGAGGGCCACATAAAGCAAAATCAATTATTTTTCTGTTATTTCTGATCGTTTGCGAAACATAATTGTGTTCGTGTTGAGTTTGTGAAGCCAAATTAACATGTTATCAAAAAGTGCAACACCAGAAGGCATAGAGGAATCCTCTATTAGAGCTAGTCAGTCTAAAATTCCTCTAAGCAGGAAAAACCCTGACTTCACGATGCCTGCTTAGTACCCAATAAACTGGTGAGGATGGTGGAACATTCACCAGCCTTTCCTTCTGAAGTTCTAACTGGATGCTATTGTGTCAATGTTTTCACACAATGGCAGCCAGTTAGAAAGAAGATGGCTTAAAGGGACGGTGTCCCTAAAGGAATAAAACCGTGGTTACAGTTGACGAGGTGCTCAGAGCTTGTGCAAACTGTGACGTCAACATAGACCAGTAACCATTTATACTCAAGCCTGAGGCACACTGGACTCCTTACAGTCTTCTCCTAAACAACTAAAGAATCACCACGTCAGTGCTCACAAAAGAAAAAAAGAAAAAGAAAAAGAAAAGAAGAAACAGAGAAATTGTTGAGGTTTTCTACAGAATGCCCATGTGTTCTAACCTGGAAGCTCAGGCCATGCCAGAGTTCACCCCCAGGTTTAACACCACTTTTGAGGAGCCACCATTTTTAAGGGTCAAAGGCAAGAATATACTGCCAGTTCATGAGGATGAAGTAGTGGTAGCACCAAAGCCAGTATAAGATAAATAAGGACCACTCTGGGCTATGCATCATGGGTACAAGAATAAAAGTATGGAGTCAGTATAAGAGATCCCTATTATATAAAATATCTGAAGAGATTAATAAGGTTGAATTAACAGTGTGATAACATTTTGAAAACTTGCATTTACTATAGTTTCAGAGCAATAATTTGGTAATAGTTTGAAAACGGCAAAAAGTGACACACAAACAAACCAAACAGTTGATGATAAGATGTGGCTCAAAGAAATGACAGAGTTAATGTTATTTTTCAATTATATTAAACAAACAGACTGTTTTCCTCTGCAGACATTTTAACTTTGTCACCACAGAGAATGCAGAGTTTTTACCATTAATCAAACGTCCAAGGGAGTCGTGACAATTTGACAATGGAGCCAATTCATAATGTTACTTAAACCCATGCTTTTTCCTACAGTGACAAGGCAAAAATCTGGAACAAGCCTATACATTTTGTTTTTTGAAGTAAGAAAATTAAATCTTTTCCTCAGGGAAGCACAAGCTCAGCAGGCTAGAACCGATTTTCCATCAAAGTCCTGAACCACACGCAGCTTTATTGACACAAACACACATAAACCACCTCACTTGTCAAACATACTGCGGGACAAAAAAAAAAAAAAAAAAAAAGGTCAGAGAACGGACTTGGAGCGGATTAAGCAGTGTCGATGGATCCAACTATGTGACCCGCTGCTAATCTGACCTCAAGAAGACAAGAGAATCCTTTCAAATCCTGCCTGTTTACTATCTGAGCTTTAAGTGAGAAGTTGTTTAATTTATATTGAGTATACACAAGTATGTGCTTTGAAAAAACAAAACAAAAAAACTTAAATACAACGGGACCTAATGTGTTTACCATTTCAGGGGATAAGTCTGTTTATGTTGTCTGTAATGCGTTTAGGCTAGACGCTGAGTCAGCTGTTCGAAGTAAAGGAGGCCAAGGAATCCTCGCAAATCTCCATCTGAGAAACGGGCATTAATAATACTGATAGACAGGCCATTAGCATCAGGGTGTCTGCACCCAGCAGCTTCTTCCCCAAAAGGAATAATGAATCAGCACCAGAGATCTCATTTAAGCTCTTAAACCACAACCCCTAACAAGTTAGAAAATGATGAGACTCTTGTTTGTTTTTGGTAGCTCACAGGGTGTAAACTATCAGTGCAAAAATATTGAAGCTTTCAACATGGAGTCACATGCTATGAAAACCAAGATAACAGGAGCTTATCCGGAGAAAATAAATGAATCGATATCCAGTGTATTTCCACTAAAGTCATGTGTCACTTCCCCTCTGGATGGAAACGTGACAATATTAGTCGCTCCAGGATGCTCCCATTCAAAACAAATTTTAAAAAAAAACCCAAAAATGCACGATTAACATTTGCACATGTTCCCGTTTGTTCACTCACAGGACAAGTCACAGCCCAGTTTTCTTCTTTTTTTTCTAAATCAATTAACTGCTGAGTCACGGGGGTTGAGAATTGGGGTGTGGAAATGAAGTCTTGCAGGGACAGGTCAGTGGTGTAAACAAGAGTTAGCCTCAGTGTGATCTCAGGCAGCTTGGGAATGCTCAGGAGCACACAAAGAAGCTTTATGCAGCCCGAGCGCTTCCATGTACACTCTGAAAATTACATTTGGCCGAGCGCGAGCTGTTAGCAGTAGCCTTCTATTCTCCTGCGTGAATATTTAAAAGAAGAAGGACATTTGCCTTCTTTATGATGTGGCTATATGCTCCGTTTGAATAAGTTTTTAATCAGACACAGTTTGCAGAAGTTTACTGGACTGAGCAAAGATACAACTAACTTTCTATTCCTGAGCTATCTAATGGGTGGAAAATAATGAAAAATGCTCCAACAAGTCTTCCCAGAGCTAAAATTGCTTCTTTTGTTTAACAAACAAACCATCCCACACCATATTAAATCTTACATGAACTTTTAAATCGGTGTACATCTATTCTTATCATTTTCTTACCATCTGTTTTTTTTTTTTTAAATATAAATCATCCAAAAAAAAAAAAAAAAAAAAAAAACCAGCAAAAATGTCTGTCACAATTTACAAGAGTCTGAAGTTAAATGAGAAAACAGTATTATGGTTAATACAATGATTAATTACTATAAATGTAATCAATTGTTTTGGACTAATTGATTAAATAATGGTAGATAAAATAGAAAAGCAGCAGGTCACCACATGCAAATATGAAACTGAATGAACTGAAAAGACTCCACATTTAAAGTATTTATATGAAACACACGTGTGTGTGTGTGTGTGTGTGTGTGTGTGTGTGTGTGTGTGTGTGTGTGTGT